CACTTTCAGGCTGGAGCACAGTGTCTGGCTTCGGGTGGGCATTTAATATATAGTTACTGAATGAATAAATCAATCTTTGCATTCTTTACAATGCCCAGCAAATGGTAGGTGCTCACGAAATATTCACTTAATTGAATTCGATAGAACTGAATTGATCTGGAGAGAATAGAGAATAAGAGGTGTCATAATATTAGGTAAGGCATAAAGAGTTCAAATTTTAAGATGAGAGCAATTTCCTTTGAAACTCCTCCTTAGGGTTAAATTTAAACTGATGCAAAATTCCACATTCTTATCAAATTTAGAATTATTTTCTTTTTCTATTTGCTTCCCAGTTTCAGTTTCTGTGTCGTGTCAACTCTCTTTGTTTTAATTCTCATAGCATAGCTTAGATCATCAAAAACCTGGACCCCTGTTATCATTTTTGTCAGTAAGTTATTGCTGCATAACAAACAAACACGAAATTTCAGCGAAATACAGCAAGATGCATTTATTTTGCCCATATCTGTGGGTCAGGTAGTCTAGAGCAGGTTTGACTGAACAGCTCTGCTTGACTTGTCTTCTCATGGAGGGTTGGCCTCAGTTCTGTGCTGTATGCATTTATTCTAGAGCCCAGACTGAGGGGGCAGCAGCTACCCAGGGAAGCTCTTGTCTTGGCAGTAGCAGAGCAACCAGAAATTCAAAATACGTCGTAAGGCCTCAGTCTGGAACTGACACATTGTCATTTCTACACACTAGATTGTCCAAAGCAAGTCATATGGCCAAACCCAACATCAATGAAATGGGGAAAATAAATATTGTCCACTCTAGTGAGTTTTGCCACACAGTCACGTGGCAAAGGAGGTGAGTGTATAAATCTAATTCAGGGAAGATGAGAAGAATTGTGAACAATGATTAAGTTTACCACACCTTTATCCTGATTCTGGGCTTCATAACGTCTTTCCTAGGCAATCACATTAGCCTCTTAACTAATCTCCTTTTGTGCAATCTTTCCTATGATCTGTGCCGCCCATTTGGTTATGAACCTTTTGGTTGCAGGTGATAGAATACCCAATTAAAAATAACTTATATTGAGGGCCGGCCCCATGGCGTAGTGGTTAAGTGCGCACTCTCCGCTGCTGGTGGCCTGGGTTCAGATCCCGGGTGCGCACCGATATACCACTTGTCAGGCCATGCTGTGGTGGTGTCTCACATAAAGTGGAGGAAGATCGGCACAGATGTTAGCTCAGGGCCAGTATTCCTCAGCAAAAAAAAAAAAAAGAGGAGGATTGGCATGGATGTTAGCTGATCTTCCTCACAAAAAAGAAAAAATTACTTATATTATCCCTTACATCAAGAAGTCTAGAGAAAGTGTTTTAGGATTGGTTTAGAAGTTCAACAATGTCATGGAGATCTCAGATTTTTTATAGTTTTTTGTTAAATCATGTTAGCTTTTGTTTGTAAGCTTGTTGCCTCGTGGTGACAAGACTGCTGCAGTAGCTCCAAGCATCATATGATGGCACAATGATGTTCAAAGCAGAAAGAAAAAGAGAACGAGTGTCTTCATATACTTCTCTTCTTTTATCAGATAAGAAATTCTTCTCTTGTAGCTTCCCAAATCACTTCCCCTTACATTTCACTGACTATAACTATCTAATCACCCAAAGCTTCAAGGGCGGCACAATTCCATACAGAACATTTTCAGGTTTTGTCTTATGAGTGGACTCTAAAAACAAGAAAGAAGTTGGGAGGGGAATAGCATATGTATAAGAAATCAATGGTATCTGCCTACTCTCAAATAATTTAATCTACATGACAATGTTTAAGACCCTTTGTAACACAATCTTCATTTCCTTTTAAAGCTTAATACATCAATTTCTCTAAATAAGAAAGAGTGAACATTTCCCTCAGCACGCCCCATTGTTCCTATCCTCTGCCCATCACCGATGTGTTTGTTACCTCTCCTCCATCTTCCCCAAATGCCCTTTTGGCCCCTCTTACCTCTCCAAGTTAAGTCTTACTTATTCTTGAGGATTCCATTCTTCTCTGGGAAGTCTTCTATGGGCGCTCAACAGTGGTCTGATGCCCCACCACACCCTCCCACTGCATCTCTGCTTCCCCAGTTACAGTATTTTTCACGGTGAAGTGTTCTTACCTGTTTACTTATATGCTGCCCCCACTGGACAAGGAACTTTCCGAGCGCAGGCAATGAGTCTTGGTTATTGTATTACTGGTGCCTTTCCTAGCTCCTGACACAGAGCAGATGTGCAGGATTTTCTTTTGCAAATAACTGAATGAATGAAAAAGTAAATGTCCTAGAATGTCTTCATCTCTATCTTCCTGTATCTGCCTAGCAAAACAAAAAAAAAGATTCTCCACATTTTAATATCCACTTTACTCAGGAATCTATTTTTCTTGAATGACCCCCATCTCACAAACTTCTCTCTCTCTCTTTCACACACACACACAACACAACTGCACTAAATGTCACTAAAAGACCTATGCTATAGGACATCTTTCTTAGCATTCAGTACATTTTAGGGCACCTGCTATATTCTGTTTTGTATATTATTTGAATACTTCTATTAGCCCTTACAAGACTATAAACGTCTTGGTTTCTTTTTTACAACCAAATATGTCTACCTCGTTGCTATAAAGATAGAAGATACTCAATAAATATTTGTGAAATTGACTTGAATTGTGATTTCTATTAAAGGGTTTTGTGCTTGTAGCAATTCTTCCTGACTATAATCCCTAGCCAGTTTAAATTATTTGACCTGAAGTTCTGAGTTCTTTTTCTTAAATAATATTTTATGTCATTCTTTCTTATAGTGGTGGCTCACTGTTTTGGAACATATCTTTGTTACTTGATCAAGTAGTCAAAGCAAATACTTGTGATTATTTCCTGCTTCTCTACACTATGTTGATGTGTTTTGAACTTATTTTCTTTCTGTCTCTCAGATGGAAGTGCACGTTTCCATACTGGAGTACATTATTATTAGTGCATTATCCTGAATTATTTCCCTCCTTGCTAGGTTGTCCCCAGTTCAAGCCATCACCTTTTCAAAGAAATGGATGAAAATCGTGACTTCCTTGAGGTCTGACCACACTCCGTTTTGACTCCCCCTTTGTAATAAGATATCATTGAGCATTTTATTATGCTGCATTTTATATTTTTCTCCCCACTTTTCTACAAATGTTTTTTCAAATTTATTGAAGACCTCCACTGATGATTCAGATGAACTCTTGCAGTCAATCATTCAATAAATGTTTATTGAACTTTTTGTGTATGTCAAACATTGTCTAGTTACTGAGGATCCAGCCATAAAGGAAATAGACATAGTCCTTACTCTCCTGGGTTTTGCATTCTAAGCAAGGGAAGCAACTAACCAGTAAACAGCTCAGTCCAATATGTCAGGTAGTGATAAGTTCTCTAGGAAAAGTATGGCAGGAAAGTGGCATGGAGAGTTCCTGTTGGCAGTGGTCGCCATTTTTTTAAAAAGGTGGGTAGGGAAGGCTACAAGCAGAAGGTGACATTTGATTAAAGACCTAGGGCAATAGAGTTCCATGCAGAGGAAATAGTAAGTGCAAAGTCCCTGAGGCAGAAGTGTGCTTGGTGTGGACAAGAATCAGCAATGTGGACAGAGTAGCTACAGGCAAGTAATGAGGGAGAGAAAGGAGAGAGAAGCAAATGAAATCAATTAATGAGTGGAAGGTCAGGTCATGTACTGCCTTAGAACTTGCGTTAGGGAATTGGGTTTCATTCTGAGCAAGATGGGAAGTCCTTGAATGTACTAAATATTTGTTTCGTTATCAGTAATAAACATCTTCGCTGTTTACAAAAGTTCTGGAAGTGGGTAGTGGTGATGATTACACAACAATGTGCATGTACTTAATGCCACTGAACTGTACACATAAAGATGGTTAAAATGATAAATTTTATGTTATGTATATTTTATCACAATAAAAAAAATCTGTGGGTGAACCTATGGGCTGTAAGCACTGGTGACGATAAGAACACATATGTGATGCAGGCATTCAGAATCTGCTTTGCAAAAATCCATCCCATATATTATAAATATAAATACACAGTGCAAGGTAGCATAAATCATGTTCCAAATAAGAGGGCTAGGCTAGGATTTCACAGAGTGTGTTTTTAAAAGCAGTAGTCTGGAGAGAGACACTTTCAAATAAAAGGATCTTACCCCAAAAGCTTGGGAAATAGTGCATGCTCCAGCCCCTCTTGGAGATTCCCAGTGCACATTGGTGTATCACAGTGTCTAAAAATAAATGCACATTTAAGAAACCTATTTAACATTGTTTAACCCAATGTTGCTAAACTATTTTGATCACAGGCCCTTTTCCCACATCACCTATTAACATCCTAAGGAACTAGTATTCCAAAGAACTTATGTTACAGGAGACACAAAGCTGAGATAGGAAGGAAGGAGTTTGTGGGAAAAGTGTCATCTGAGCTGAGCCCAAAGGAAAGGAGATACTTAGGTTAGAGAAGAGGAAGGGCATTCAAGGCAGCAGAAATATTGAGAAATTCACCTCCAAGTAAGTCTCTTGGAAATTACCTCTTCAAATTGCATTGAACCACAGAATGAATCTCCTAAATATACTGATAAAATCATAATTTTGATGATTGTTGATAAATTTCTTCTAAAACACTCCAGACACCAATTTGCTAAGATTACTTATTTTATAGAAGTTTTCTTAATTCCTTGTCATTTTTTTTATAGACAACAAAGTTAAGCCCAGAGAGACTATAACTTACTCAGTCATCCCTGCCTAATCGATGGCAGAGTGTTAGTTTTCTTTCTCTGGGGCCAGAGTCCTGTTCCATATGGGAGGGAGTTATGGTCTTTGTATGTCTGCAGTAGACACTCTGGAATTAAAGCAAAAAATCGATTCCTATGCAAGATGCAGATTTCAGCATGCACTGGATATGGAAACAGAATCAAATTAAAGAACAACGCAAGCTTGGATTTTAATGAAGCTCATCTTTGTTTCTTTTGCAGATCAAATTTTTGGCTCTCATCTGCACACAGTGTGTGAACGTGAAAATTCCACAGTTCCATGGTTTGTAAAGCAATGCATTGAAGCTGTCGAAAAAAGAGGTGGGTAACTGAATATAAAGCAATTTCTCCCATTACTGCAGCCTCTAAATAACCAATGCTCAAGTTAACAGCATCACTTGAGTTGTCTGGGAAGCCATGCAATTAAAACTTGACTTTTGTTAATCGGTTAAGAGGATCATTTTCTTATTAACTTCAGTTTATTTTTACAATAGGGCCATCAGTAAGTCTCTCTAATGTTCTTTTTTTTTTTTTTTTTTTAATATTTTGTCTGTCTGCCATGTTGTTGGTTCAATTGCAAACTTTTTGTTTTCAAGCCAGTGATAAAACATTCATAAAATATCATCACTCACAGTGTTAGAACCCTCCTAACATTCATGCTGGGAGATGTTGTGCCAGAACAATTTTTGGTAAGCCCCCAACATTAACCAAGTAAAGCAAATAGCATCCCTACTTGCAAACAGTAATATTCCATCTTCCTCACGTTTCTGTTCAGTATAGAATCTGGCTAACGGGTTTTCCTGGAACAATTAACAGACACACCTCTGGTGTTAAGACGACCTTTGATTCCTATATTTTGACATTCTATTTTTCATCTAAAATTATTTCATCTTTCTAAGGGGAACAAAACGAAACCCAATTGACTCATCATTTCTATGTTAGTCTATCTTTGGGGTGTTTTTCTTTCAGTCTATGACTTTATTCATTCAAGGTCATTTTCCCTGGAAGATACATACAGTAGATGCAGAATCTCAAAAAATGTATTGTATAAAAATGTGAAGCTTCATCACCATCTGTTACAAGTTTACAACATATTCCCAGGATCTAGGGGGATATATATCATGTAAAAGATAGAGATGTTTTCAGAAAAAGAATTGGTGAGTCCATTCCCATTTTCAGCTCCCAGTTTCTTAAAACAATAGAACCAAGGGGAAAAAATCTTTACCAAGTTATCTGCTAGGAAAAACCATTTTAATTCTCTCAATGTTACCTGGCTTTATTATAGAAGCATAATAAAAATGGTCTGCAATTTCCAACTCCTGGAAATTCATACTTTAATTATACTGTAAGGACAGCCCTGGGATCCTATTATTCCTATATCAGTAGGGAATGAGAGAATAACAAGAAGGGGACGTGTGGGTAGGGAAAATCGATGAAGAGAGTGGCTTTGGGGAAAGCATATCAACACGTCAGAGAGAAGAGCTGAGGGTTCAGAGAGAGAGAGGAAAACAGTAAAAGCAGAATGAACATAAGGAGAAGTATCTGTGAGAAGAGTCAACTGGAGTTTAGAGAGAACTGTGTTTTTATTGCATGTTGCAATCTCATTTAATTTTATCAGTACGTATTTTAGGAATAAATATTATTTAATAAGTACTTCAAGCCAAAATGGATCACTGAGAATGTTATAATGTTATTATTGCCAATAGCTAAGTTATCATCATTTTCAGGAAATCTTCATTCACCTAGAAATACTCAGTACAGGTGGTGTGAACACTTATATTAGAGCAAAAATCCAAACAGGACTTTAGGGGAAGCTGTACATAATAAGATGTGTACACATATAGAAAAGGGCTCTATACTTCTCTTTTTATGTACATACCCTAGACAAATTGAAAACTCTGCTAGATACAGCCTCATGGGGTGCAGATACCATAATATTGTAGAGTAGAACGTGTCTATAAATAGAAACTGTATCTTTTGTTCCTAGCATTTTGTTGGCAATTTTTAATAAAATAAGACAATGTTTTTGCCGACAGGAGCAATCATATCTGACATTATATTTCATTTTTCCAATGTATACTCTTAAAATGAATTTGTAGATCCAGCGCTAGAGACACTAATCACACATATGATTATTAAAATAATTCCTAAGCGTTTTAATGAAACTCAAAGACTACAATTCCACAAAGCAACTGATAATTCAAAGCATTTTGGCAGTGTCAGCTCTCAGGAACTCTATGGAAATGTTCGATAAAAATTCAGAGGCACAAGGCAAACCTTTCACATCATTGCGAGATTTACAAGTGTGTACTTTTGATTATATTTTTCTATGATCATTTTGTTGGATTAATATTCTTACACTCATATGACAATTCTATTTACTCAAAGTGTCGTTTTTACTAAATTCTGGCATAAAGCACCTTAGGACAGAAATAATTTATGTGAATCTAAATCCAATGTTTATGCAGGCTTCTGATGACATTTAATGCTGGGGTTGGTATTGGGAAGTAGCATATAAAGGTGCCAAGTCTCTCGGCAATGCTGGGACTCAGCATATCTAGATCCCTCCTTCTAATGGCCAGATCCTCTTCCAGCCAAGATGCTCAACTGCAGAGTCACGGGAAATGCTTACGGACCTGTTATGGGAAAAGCACATTTAACGAAAACTGTGTGTTTACTCTCACAGTTTTAGGAAAGTGACCTCAATACTCACTACAGCAGGACGTTGGCTGTTACAAAAAAGATTTGTTTCCTTTCTCTCTTATTTTCTTAAGATTATTTCCCCCTACCTTAAAAAAAATCATTTGTAAACTGTAGTTGTATTTTTTTTAAATGCTTCTTACATGTTGTATTCCAAATGAAACAATGTCAGGAAGACAGATCTCACCATTTATTAATTCATTCATCCATTCATCCATCCACCCATCCATTCATTCATTCATTCATTCATTTAGTTATTTGCACTTGGCAGAACCAATTTGCTCACGCTCTTGTAGTCTCCCCAGGGAAATTCTAGCCATACAAGATGCATTCTTTATTAATGCCTGGTAAGGTGGTATTAGTTACATTTTAAATTTTGAGTCTCTTGGACATACCTAGAAGAAAATCTATTAGTGAGCTGAATGTAAACCAATTTAGCGAATAACTTGTTTAGTGTGTTTCCTTATCTTGATTTGGTTTCCTTTATTCCGCTAAACCACCAGAGCATTCTCCTCCTTACCAACTATTATAACTAGATTAAAGTTATTTTTGTGGTTTCTAACATTGTCTGCTCAGCCTAGAAAAGATACACAAAATTGGAGGGAAAACTGGTTCATTCTCCCTTGTCTTTACGCTTGCAGACCTTGTATATGACCATACTGGAAGGAGCCAATGAAAAACTCAACTTATGTTTCTTCTTCCAAAGCAAGCTGCAAAAGTATTGAATCATTCTTCAGCTAATGCTCAATACATATGGTAAACTGACCAGAAGCATGAGGTCATTTGACACTTTTTTTTGAGGTCTGGGGGAACAAGCATATAGAGGGAGGCATTGTGACATGCTGGTGGTATGTAGATCTAAACAGTGAGAAGTCCATTTTTCACTGCTTTATAGAATACTTTGTGTAGTTTATAATGACCTCAAAAGTGTGCAGAAATTGCTTACTTAAAAGTAGGGCCACTTGTATTTCTTAGAGACAAGGGCCTAGAAGATATGAACTAAACAAAGCGTATATAGTGTAAACTGATGTAATTAGTATTAAGACCTTAATCCATAGTTCTTTTTATCAAACTATGTAACTGACTGACTTCTCTTTGTGATGGTTTAGAAAGAGCTGTACACAGTATGTGACACAGTGTAAGCACTCAATAAATTTTGGTTGAATGAAGTAACAGACACTAAATGTTTGTTGCATTTGTGCAACAAGTAACTATGTAGAGCTTACTATGTTTCATTACCCCTACTACTAACAGAGAACATAGAGAAGATATAAATTAGACAAAAAGACACACACAAAAAACCCAAACTGTGATAAGTGCTATGAAAGAAAAGAACAGATACCAGAAAAGAGAATACCCATTACAATAATAATTTTTTAAAAAGTAGAGGAGGTTTGCCTGCTTAAAATAACACAATAGGGAGTGAGGGAAATGGGGAGATGTTGGTCAAAGGGCATAAAGTTGCAGTTACTTAGGATAAATAAGTCTAAATATCTAATGTAGACAGGCATGATGACTATAATTATAATACTGTATTGAATACTGGAAATACGTTAAGAGAATAGATTATACGTGATCTCATCATCACAAAAAAGTTGGTAGCTATGTGTGGAAATGATACATTAATTAGCTTGACTATAGTAATCATATCAAATCATCATGTTCTATATCTTAAATATATACAATTTTTCTTTAAACATTTTTTTAAATGACATAATAAACATTGAATAATGAATGCATACTTGTCTGGTTTTAGCCTCCTGTTATGACCAGAAGTTTAATTTGGTCTTATTTCCCCGGTTATTTTATTGACACATTGTGACAATGCAATATAAAGAATCACTTGGTGTGAGATACCCAAAAAGACATCCCTTGAATGGTAAACCAATCCTTTTTCTACCCAATAATATCAACCATTGCAGAAGACTTCTTTTTATATAATAATGGAGTTAACTAAATGAATGAGCATATTTCTACCCTAAACGTATTTTTATGCATCCAATATATTTTTGTTTGTAAGAAAACAGGATGGGTTTAACAAAAAAAAAAACATTTATTTTCATTTGGATTGGCATTCATCCTTTGGAATATGGTTTAACAACTCATTCTTCCTCCATGATTCCCCATTCTCTTAATATGCCGCCAAACTATTTAGCAACATTAAAATGATACCTAGAGATCTGTTGCACAACAATGTAAATGTCCTTAATACTTCTTAACTGTACCCTTAAAAATGGTTAAGACAGTAAATGTTATGTTATGTCGTTTTTTAAAATCACAACTAAAAATAAGTGATACTGGGTCTTCCAAATTTGATGATTCCAGCTATAAGCTGCTTTGCAGAATGCATCAGCAGATACTAATCAACAAGTTTGTCCTCTTTTTCTTTTTTCTGGAACACAAAATACTATGACAAGAACGATACACAAAGTTACATATTTGACTCGGTGCCTAAAAGCCACCCTGGGATCCATAACCTTGCTAAAAGATTTAAGAAAGACCTTTAGTCTACTTCTGAGAAGGTCCTTAGCCTCGAAAACTTTATCTCTCAACTTGACTTCTTAGCAGCTGTTATATTTTTTTGCTGTCGCTTGTTTGACAGGATCCAGTTATAGGTTCCG